ATCTAACAAACAAGAATACATGATATTATTCCTGCCTGTCTCAGAAGGATGCTGGCAGAACCACGGATGATGGTAAAAGCAGACATGTCTTTCCTGGACAGTGGTCACCTTTGCCTCACCAGCTTCTTTGTCATTTCTGCAGGTGAGAGAACACTTCTCTTCCTTCTGTCTTGGGGACCGCACTCTATGTGTGAGCATGTGGCCTTGGTCTGACCGGTCAGAACATTATTTACCCCCGTCCATATTAGACAATGCAGGACTGGGCACATGTCCCATTCTGGTTCATGGATGACCAAGTAGTTCCACCTGGTTCAAAAAAAATAAATCCTGTATCTTACAGAAAGCTTGGAAAAGAGAAGCTTTCTTTCCAGTGGAGTTGCTAAGTCACTAACTATATAGCTCAAACCAAGAACCACTAAAGGGCCACACGGGTAAGGAACGCACAGAATAAGACCACAGAGGAAAACAGCAGAGAGAAGAGATGAGTAACTGAGAAAACATAAATGCTTGGCTACAGCCATCCTGGACATAAAAGGACATCTCTTAGTTGTTCATTTCCACTATTTAAGTGAGTTTTACTTTTGTTTCTGTAGCCTGCAACTATAAAGAGTCCAGATTTATAAAGTCCTATATATAATTTATACTAGAATAATATTATAGGACCCTGTCCTTTATCTAATACATTCTTTACTTTCAATAGTATATTCTCAAAGTTCCATTTTCAAAACAACATCTGAAAGCTACAGTCCAAGGAAACATTCCTGGAAACAAATTAATCAGACATACTATGCACCTGGGAAAATTGACCTATAATAATTATCATCAAGATACATTCTTTATTGAGATATAACTGACATACCATCAAATCATCCATTTAAAGTGTACAGTTCAATGTAGTTTTGGTGGCATGGCCACGAAGCATTACCGGATCCAATGTCATGAAGATTCCCCCTTAAGAGTTTTGTATTTTTAGTTCTTCACTAAAAATATAAATATATTTATATATTTTATATATGATATTATAAATAATATATTATAAATGATGTCCCAGCATCATTGATTGGAAAGACTATCCTTTTTCCCATTGACTTGTCTTGCCACCCTTGTTGAAAATCAACTAACATAAGTATAAGGGTTTATTTCTGGAGTATTAATTCAATCCCATTGAAGTATATTTATCCTTAATCCGAGACCACACATTTTTTATTACTGTGGCTTTGTAACAAGTTTTGAAATTGGGAAATGTGACTCCTCCAACTTCATTCTTCTCCAAGTTTATTGTAGCTATTCTGGATATGTGAAATAGCTATTCATTTTCCATATGAATTTTAGGATTGACTTGTCAATTTCTGCCAAAAAAAAAAAAGGCAGCTATTTTCTGATAGGGATTACTTTGGGTCTTTAGATTAATATGGTGAATATTAATGTTTCAACAATATTTTATCTTCTGATCCATGAACATTGGATATCTTTCTACTTATTTAGATCTTTAATTTCTTTCAACAATGTTTTACAGTTTTCACTGCACAATTGTTATACTCCTTTTGAATTTATACTTAAATATTTTAGTCTTTTTGATGCTTTTAAAAATGTAACTCATTGTAAATGTATTGTAAAAATGGAATGTGAATTTAATTTTTGGACAATTCATTGGTAGTGTTTAGAAATACCACCAATTTTTCTATATTGATCTTACAGCCTGCAACCTTGCTGATCTTTTTATTAACTTCAAATAACTTTTTAGTAGATTCTTTAGAATTTTCTCTCTAAATATGGGGTCATGACATTTGCAATATAGAGTTTTACTTCTTCCTTTCTAGCCTGGATATCTTTATTTCTTTTTCTTATCTAATTGCTCTGGAAAGAATCTCCAACACAATGTTGAATAGAAATTATGAAGACAGTTACTCTTTTCCTGTTCCTCATTTTAAAAGCAAAGAATTAAGTCTTTCACGATTAAGTATGATGTTAACTATGAGTTTTTTGAAGATGTCTCTCAGAGTGAGGAAGTTCTATTTTATTTCTTGTTTGTTGACCTTTTTTCATCATGATTTATCAGATTTTAGCAGATGCTTTTTCTATGTTTATTGAGCAAAACATATTCTTGCCAGAATTACTGACTTTGAAGAAAAACAGAAAATTAAGCATATATGCAAAAGACAAAGTCACTATAAAGATAATCAAAACACCATCAATATCTTAAGCCAAAATAAAATGGAGTAAATATTTAAGATATTCACAGAAAGTAAATACAGCCAAACTGACTTTCTAATATAAAGGCAGATTACAATCAAAATGTAAGAACTCAAACTATAATGTTACCATGAGCCTATATGGGCTCTGATCATTAATTAAAGCACAGACTTTAGAAATCATAAGAAACTTTCAAAGTATAAATTTTTAGAGCAAAAATAACTCACCAACACTAACTCTAGAAGAAATGCAAAGTATGGAGACCTTTACCCACTGAAGAAATTAAATAGGATTAAAAATTTATTCCTATACACACAGAAAATGCCAGGCTTCCAGAGAATAGAAAAAAGAAAAAATACCCCCCAACTCAATTCATGAGGCTGGGATAACCTTGAGACGAAAGACAGTGAGAACAAGAAAAATGAACAACCAGCTAAGTTTATGAATATAAATATCCTAAGAAAATATTAGTACTACATAACTACAACGCTCCAAGAAAACACTGCCTTGCTGTGACCAAGTTATATTTTTTCCAAAAGTGTAGGAATAGTTTAACATTAGAGAATTAATAATCCATAATATTAGGAGACTAACGGGAACAATAGATGCAGCAAAACCGGACACTTAATAAAATTTGGTTCAACAACCATTCATGATAAAGTGATTAGCACAGAAGAGAAGGGAAGTTTCTTAATTTGCTTAAGGACATCCCTCTAAATCTACTTTTGTAGTATTTAATGTTAAAGGGAAGAAACAAAATACAAAATACTCATTTGATATGATGTAATATCTAGATTAAAAACTAAATATACAAACATGTCTTTAATTAATGAGAGTATTCAATTACATTTCTATTATTATTTTATTCCTATTATTTAACTAGAAATAAAAACTTGACAAATAAAATGTTTAATAGTACAAAAATGTACTCTTTTAGAAATAGATTTAATAAAAAATGTGTAATATTTCTAAAGAAAAGCCATAAAACCCTATTAAAAGATTAAATAAGACTTAAATAAATGGAGAAATAATTGACAAAGATCCACACAGTAAAGCTGTCATTCTTCCAAAATTAATTTATATACTAAATTCCATTCAAAATACCAATATGCTTTTCATGAAATTTGACAATTCAGTTCAAAAATTAATGTGTAATACAAAGGTCCAGGAATAGCTCAGAGAGTCAAGGTTGGAGATTTTTACCACCAGACATCTAAATTTATTATAGAGCTATAGTAATTAAGATAACATTGGTAGATTTAGATAAATTGACCAATGGAACAAAATAGAAAGTTCAGAACCAGACCCATACATGTGCAGAAATCGGTATAGCCACTATGGAAAGCAGTATGAAATTTCCTCAAAAAAACTGAAAATGGAAATGCCAAACAACCCAGTAATTCCACTCCTAGGAATTTACTCAAAGAAAACAAAATCTCTCATTCATAAAGACAGATGCACCACATTTATTGCCACATTATTTACAATAGCCAAGACAGGGAAGCAACCAAAATGTCCATCAATAGATGAATGAATAAAGAAAAGGTGGTGTATATACAGAATGGAATATCATTCAACCACAAAAAAAAACATGAAATCCTGCCATTTGCAACATGAATGGACCTAGAGGGTATTATCCTAAGTGAAATAAGGTGGAGAAAAACAAATACCATATGATTTCACTTATGTACGGGATTAAAAGAAAAAAAAAGAACAAAACAGCAGTAAGCTCATAGACAGTGAGAAATGATTGGTGGTTACCATGCAGAGAGGGTTTGGGGTGCTGGGTAGTGTGGGTGAGGGGAATAAAAAGGCACAAAAATCTCCGTTTTATAATTAAATAATATAAATTAGTCACAGGGTGAAAGTACAGCATGGAGAATACAGTCAACAGCTCTGTAACATCTTTCTATGTCGACAGTAACTACACTAGTTGGGGTGAGCATTTAATAATGCAGATAACTGTCAAATCACTATGTTGTACCCTTGAAACCGGTATAATATTGCATATAAAAAAAATTAAAAATTTTTTCAAAAAATTTTTAAAATAGAAAAATCTCTCACTATCATGGAAACATACTTAGAATATAAGTAAACAGAGTAAACCATATGAAAACACCCACAGGTATGGCACCACCCATTAAAAAAACTCAAATGTTCATGAAAACATCTATGCAAAGCTAAGGAGAGGAAAGAGATATGCTATAGTGTTAACAGGAGTTAGCACTTGGGGGTAGCTTATGATTATTTTTAGTTTATTTCTGCTTTCTGCTTCATTTTCTCTAGTGAACATAATTAGCTCTTAATAAATCTGTTGGACTGATAAACATTTTTTAATGCCACAGTGGTAGTAATAGTGGCAATCAATGCACTTGTGCTGAAACGTCCTTAAGAGGCAAACATAATCAGAAAAATGCTTCAGAGGTGCACTTCTACATTCAATATCTCATTTCACCTAGTTGAGAAAATAAGTTCAAAGCAGGACAATACCCCGTCCTCCATGAGTTTACCAATTAAAACCACGACTACCAAGTGCACGGGGCCGTGAGCGGAGCACGAAATCTTGCATTTGAATCGCACTGGTCTTGGCCATTGCGGATGTACGGACGGTCTCCTCTCTGCCTTTTTAGTTCTGGAGAAGAGCTCAAGCCTCTCACAGGAGTGTGAAAGAGCTGTCACGGCCTTTGTCACACCAGATGGTCTACTTTCCTTTCAAAAAAGGAAAAGTTAGCACTGAGCCTACCCGCAACTATGGGAAATGGATTTAATTGAAGCATGATATATCTGACGTTTCGTTTTTAACTCACCTCCTCAGTGAAGACGCCTCCCCTCCTCAGAGCAGCCGGCTCGGTGTGGGTGTGTGGAGCTTCCTAACTTGCCATCCGGCCCAGCCTGTGATAAGACAGAAATAACAAAGATGTTGCACGTTTCCCTGCAGGATTTGACTCCTACCAGAAAAGGGCTGGAGCGGGGGATAATCTCAGTTATATAAAGGAAAGACGCTGGAAATAGAGAAACAGGGGCTGGTGTGGTCATTTTACAAGTATTAGGAGGCAGGGACCATCACGGGACCCACAGCACCTTTGTGGTGAGTCCCTGTTGACACATGACCAAGCTGATCTTACCCGGTGCTTACCTGTACTTGGTACTGTGCCAGGGTCTCTGCATTCATCATCTCAAGTAATCCTCCCGGCAACCCTGATGGCAGATCCTATCTTATGAGCCCCATTTATAAATGAGGAAACTGAAACTCAGAGAGAAGCTACATGGCTTGCCATGGCCACGAAGGCAGCAAAGGAAGGTGCTGGGATCCGTGCCCCCGCGGAGCCTGTGGGTGCCTGAACGCGAGACCTCCACACACCTGTCTTCAGAACCGTTCAGTGGGCTGGTGCTTTCACCTGCATCCTCCCTGTCAAGTCTCCTCCTGCAGCT